TCTCTCTCTCCCTTCCTCTCTCCCATCCTCTCTCTCTAAAATGTCCTTGGGTGAGGATAAAAAAAAATTTTTAATAATAAAAGAAGGTTTAAATGGTTGCAAAATATCTAATATTATGTACAATCCCACCTACAAGTATAAAGATATAAATTAAAATGAGAACTTTTTAAAAGTTTGACAATTAATTGTATCGACCAAGGTTTAAAGAGAAAAAGAACTGACATCTTCGAAGGTCGGAAACCCTAAACCTTACAGATAATTATCAAATCATTCATACATTTACTCATTCAAAAACAAACTCTATTTACCATCTACATGTGCCAAGCTTTATTGGTGCTGAATATGCAGCAACAAATAAAACAAATAAAAGCCCTTGCCCTTCTGAAGCTCACACTCATTTGGGTAAGGAAGAGGGAGGTATGTTGGAGGCAAGCTTTGGATGGAAAGAGAGGAATAAGATGAGAGATACAAGGATATTTCCATTTCTACACACAAATCCCCATCCTCTCTCCCGCCTAGCAATATCCTAACCATCTACTTCAAGGTTCATTTCTAATAAATCCTCCCTCCTCCCTGACCACTTCTCACCAAACCCACATTCTAACACATATTTTTTAAAATTATAAAACAGTATATAATGTAATGTTATTTTTTACATTTCCTACAACATGTAAAATTGTGCCTTGGACATATCAGATGTTTGGTAAATGAATAAATAAAATTTTTTCAAAGGCAGCATGTGGAATATGTAAGCAGCAGAGCTTTTATAAGAGAAAGCAGATGGCCTGCAGAAAGGGGGCAGGAGAACAGATGACCAGGCTGCTATTCCAAGATGCAAAATATACCTCATATTAACTGTGCAATAAATGTGAATCATCAATACTTTCTTGGCTAATATGAAATCATTTTTAGTTGTTATAATGTAGCCAAAAACAATAGTAAAGTAAAGGCGGTCTAACATGCATATCCATTTTTGTTTGACTATTTGAAAACAAAGTATTAGTAAGGCTATAAAAATAATAAAATATATTTAATTAATAGCTAACTAAAAATATTATAAGGTCGAGTAATTACTTTTTAAGATTTTCACCATTCCAACTTTAACTAAAATTCTTTTAAAAGAGAACCTATTCAGTCATTTTGAAATGAAATATTTCAATGTTATTATTTATAAAGCTGGAACATGGTACTCCCACCTTAGCATGTAATAAAAGTCACTTCTTTTATGTACACTTGTAATTTAAGTATGCAAGAGAGACTGCAGAACATTCATGAATAAAAACTGAGAACAAGTGGAAAAGAAATATAGCAAAAAGCCACAATCATAATGTTCAAATGGTATGGTGCCAAGAGCTTAGTGAATACACTTTTCAAATGTTATACATCACCAAACTCCCTCTTCACCAACAAAAGGTCAGGGAAATGGAGGAAGTAACAAAAAAAGCAGATTTGGGATAAAGATGTAACATGATTCAAGTCAATGATTCATTAGGACATAGTTCCTGAGGGTCAAATGACTCATCAATTTTCAGCACTAAAATTTTCCAATTCTTATTTTGGGAAACAGTATTGCAACAAATAAAAAGCATTAAATAAACATATAAAATGTATTTTTTAATGTATTGTGGCAAATAACAAGTAATACAAATATTTAAATGTATTTTTTTAAACCGGAGGGAGTGATTTTGCACTGTGATAGGACCAGAATCAATTCTGAAATTGTTCTTGTGGAAGCTGGAGCCTAAGAGGCGGCCGTGCCCAAAGCAGGAAAAAACAGAATGAACTACAGCCAAGAATAGCGTCCTGTGTTGTTGACGACCAGTCCTTACTGATATGTACCAAATTAGATCAGGTCCAACTTGGGAACAACAGTCCTCTTTGAAGTTAGTCTCAGCTTGCCAGCTGCTAGTACCTATCCCCAGGGTCGCCACAGGAGACAATGTGCCCCAACACCCCTTGGCTGCTCCATGAGTTGAGGACTTGCTAGCTTCTGCACTTTGAAGAGGCCCTGTCAAGACCAGCTGCTGCTACTCTGTCCCCAGGTCCTTTCCCCTAAGGGCACCTCAGCAAGATAGGATCTGGGTGGTTGTGCTTTTCTACTCTACACCCTAATAATAGGGAGTGGGACTGAGAGAGATTTTTACGTAGCTACTAATTAGATACAGTATTTTTATTGTTACTTGCCTCCCTGATGGATGGGGTAGATTAGGCATTTGTAGTCTGGGGTGGGCAAGGGTCCAAAATCTGTGGTGGGGAGATCAGAGGACACCTTGGCTACACTCAAGTTTCCTGCCCCATTGGCCTTTAAGTTCTCCACGTCTTACTCGTGTACTCTGCATTGTATTATCACTCAGCATCATGTCTTCCCTACAATATAACATGAAATGCTCAGCATGAACACATTCAAATAGCTCGTAGCTCTCATTGTTCCCTGACCTGAATCCATGTTTCTATACCTGTCCTAGCTCTTCCTCCCATTCTGAGACCAGCAATCAAAACAATTTTTCCTCCCTTTGAGCCCTCCAGTTGTCATGGTAACAAAAAGCAGGTGCAAAGAAAGAATCACATAGCAAGGCCAGATACCAAATCTGATCAGGTGACTTGCTGAGATCCCTTCATTTCCTTTCATCTTCAGTGCATATGATAAAATGCAATCTGTATCATTATTTTTAACTGTTTAACTTGATTAAGGAAAGTGGGGGGACTGGCTCAACCTGCTTTATGAAGGCTTGTTGACAGATGACTTTTAAGGCTACTTGCCTCAGGTTTTTAAAACTTCATGAAAAAAGTTCAGGAGTGACTCACAAAGAAATTTAATGAAATTCAACTTGCATCAGACAAATAATATCTCATTTTTTTTATGATAAAGAGTGCTTTAAGCCCTGGCCTGTGTGGCTCAGTGGATTGAGCTCCAGCCTGCAGACCAGAAGGTTGCTGGTTTGATTCTGGGTCAGGGCATATGCCTGGGTTGCAGGCCAGTTCCTCAGTTGGAGGGGGTGTGAGAGGCAACAGATCGTTGTTTCTCTCATGCATCAACGCTTCTTTCCCTCTCTCTCTCCTTTCTCCTCTCTCTAAAAATAAATAAATGAAAAATTTTTTTTAAAAAGAATGCTTTAAGTAAAAGCAGGTAGTCCACAGAGCTCCATCCTTGCTGACTTTGCCTTGACTGAGATCAAACATAGAAACAATTTCTCCAAGTCTTCCATAAGCATATATCATAGGGTGAACAGACTGCTCTTGGGAAGACTTTATACCAAATATTTGAAAAAGTTCAAGAGACCAATGATTACTTCCTCTAATATAAAAGTTCATGCATCCAAAAATAAGAATTGAGCAACTACTAATCTCTACATTAACTAGTCTGTCTCCTGAGGGTCCTGGGGGAGACGAATGATATGTTGATGCCCTCCTCAGGAAATTTTGATGCTGCAGTGCATTCAAGAGCTTAGATAGTGAAGCTTCTGCCTCTTGCTTTCTTTTAGTTTCCCCCGCCACCCCATGTCCCCTTGTTATTTTTCCTGTCTTCCTGTATTTAGCAGATATTGTTGGAGCTTCCCTATGTGCCACTTTCTCCTTTTTTCATGCCGACAGAGCTCCACTTTTGTGTAGATTCCATATTCCTGCCCAAGGCTCTCCAGCTCCAGCCTATGGCAGGAAGGAAGTACGATCCATCTAGGACACCCATGTGATCTCATTATCCTTGCCAGGGATTGATTAGGTATGTGTCTAATTTAGGCAATTAGATGTGAGTAGAAAGCTGTGAAGGACCTCTGGGGAAAAGCTTCTCAGGCTAATAAAAAGAAACACACTTCTCTTTTCTGTCTTTAGACATTACTGGGTCCAGATGTGATGTCTGGAAATGAAGTAGGCCCTCACAACTATGAGGACAAGGGTGATAAAGAGGATAGCAGAGTTCCGAGCCACTAAATGAATCAATCCCAGTGTGAGTGCAATGCAGCACTTCTAGTTATGGTAAACAGTAAATTCCCCTATGGTTGTAGCCAATTGAGTTAAGATTTGTTGTTATTGATAGCCAAAATATCCTAATAAAATTTATCACAAGTTTCTCATGGACAGCTAAGAAATGAACACACACTATCAATTTTTTATCCAATTTGTAATAAAAATTATTTTTTAATAGTTTAATGTATTTTAATAGCAAACTTACCGGAACAGCACAGAAGACAGACAATATTAAAAACATACTTGCATGTAGGACAACTCAGTTAGAAAAGTATAGTGAATGGATGGAATCTACTGTATGATAAAAATGCTACAAACACCATTTGGTTGCCATCAGTAAGAAATTTACTTGTTTTAAAAAAATCCAAATGCTGGCACTGTCCAGAAAAATTTAACAGGTTTATTTATATTGTTATAAAGTTGAACTGCTTGAAACTTGTTCACTGAAACACCTTGACTTGCATTAATACTTTATGTCCCTGCATTTATATTAAATTCACACACAAATGAAAATGGAAAAACAGCCAATACCTGATTTCTGTCCACTATTTTCCACTTGCAATCATATATTTAGGTACCTTTTTCACCCCATGGAAAAAAAATATCTAACGTTCAGAACTACCAATAACAGGAAGAGAATTTTTTTTTTTTTAAAGAATGAAATGTTTCCAATCATAGTGGATTCTTAAGCACGTTCTCCACGTATGCAGCGTGCTAGCTGGATGTCATTCGGCATAATTGTTACACTTTTGGCATGGATAGCACACAGGTTGGTGTTTTTGAAAAGGCCAACCAGATAGGCTTCACTTGCCTCCTGCAAAGCACCAATAGCTGCACTCTGGAAGCGCAGATCTGTTTTGAAGTCCTGAGCAATTTCTCCCACCAGATGCTGTAACGATGAGGTTTCTTCACCCCTCCAGTAGAGGGTGCACTCTTGCGAGTGGCTTTGGTAGCCAGTTGCTTCTTAGGTGCTTTTACCACCAATTTTGGGGCAGTCTGCTTTGTATGAGCCATGGTATAGGGACCTCTTTACTTACCCCCTTCTCCTTTGGCTGGAGCTCGGCAAGCTGGAGGAGGTGCTGGTGTTAGAGAGCGACAGCAGCTGCAAACATTAATAAAAATTATTGATGAAATTCATTAACACCAGAATAAAATTGACAATGGCTAAAATTGCAGAGTAAAATTTGTTTTCAGAGAATCAAATCTTCTTTGTAAAATTTATCTAATTTTTTGATATTGTGGAGAATTTGTAGATATTCAAAAGTATAGAAACTAGTATAATGAAGTCCCATGTACCTATCACTTAGTTTCAACAATTATCAACTCAAGGTCAATTTTGTTTCCTGTTGGGAACCACCCTTCCTGGTTTCAGAAGCTGTAATCCCTCATGGCTAAGGCTGAGTGAGAGACCTTGGGACCATAAGCCACTAAGGAGACAAAGCTTATCTTCCTGGCAGGGATGCCGTCTCTACCCCTTTTACTTCACCCTGCTTGGCCCCGAGCCTGACCAGTTAGTCAATGACCAGTAAGATTCCTCAAGGGAGGAATGACCTAAAGACAGGCACACTCATGAAGGGGCCCCCACGGAAGGACTTGGGGGGCTATAGCAAAAGGGGGTGATGGACCCTCACCTCTCAAGCTTTGAAATAGCCTGAGTCCTCATTCTGTCTGCAAGAAGTCTCCTAATCTCTTGGCTGCTTTACCTCCCCTGCCTGACTTAAGCCTGAAACAATGACAGAGGGCAGTGCCACCCTGGGCTGGAAAGGGTGGGTTCCCCACTGTGATCAGGCCTAAGAAAGAATACGTAAAATCCTGTGAAAGCTGCTTTGCTAAGAATACTCTCAATTTTCTAATGAGGATCCGAGCAGGAAATGAGTTTGTTTCCCAAAGTTTTATAGCTCCTTAGCTAACTGACCCTGACTCAGAATAAGCCCTTGTAGTTCTTTGTATGTTATCTATGGTTTGATCCTTACTGCCTGACAATGATTGATGAGCTTTACCTGTATTCCTATGTAAGTTGAACCCAATAAAAGCCCATGGAGGAACAGGCTTCTGGCCCTTCTCCTTTGAGAGACTGACCACCTCTCCTCCCCAAGCAGATGATGTCTTGGTACTTATTCTCATCTGTGGTGGATGGGGGTGAGGGGGTACTATGGGTGGAGTCCCCCCACAGTTTCCTCTGTCCCCTACCTATATTTCCTACTCCCAGAATATTTTGAAGTAGACCCAAAACCTCATATTATTTCATTAGGAAATACCTTGAAGATTTGCAAATATTTCTTAAGATATAAGGATATAATTAGTAATAACTCATCATTTTTATTAAATATCCTGTCAATGTACAAATTTCCTGGGATATTTCATAATTTTATTTGATGGTTGATTTGTTCAAATCAGGATAAAGCAAGGAACACAGATTTATTTTTAACATTTTAATACATTTTATTTGTTCCCTTTGCAAATAACCACCTAGTTTTATATTTACATGTGTATAATAAATGTTTTCTACCCTTATGTACAGTCTTAGAACATGAACAGGTCATTCTCTTTTTTAAAGAGAGATATGAGGAGAGAAAAACCTTTTTTCTTTTTATTCTTTTTCTCCAAGAGCTTTGATATTTATAATGTATATATTTGTTGTTGTCTTTCCTTTTTAAAAAAATTATTGTTTAATTACAGTGGACATTCAATATTCGTTTATATTAGTTTCAGGTGTGCAAGCACAATGGTTGAACAATTATATAATTTAAGAGGTGACTGACTGATAATTCAAGTACCCATCTGGCACCACACATAGTTATTACATATTACTGACTACATTCCCTGTGCTGTACTTTACATTCCCATGACTATGTTGTAACTACCAACTGGTAATTCTTAATCCCTTCACCTTTTTCAGCTAACCCTGCCATCCTCTTGCCATCTGACAACCCTGTTTGTTCTCTGCATCTATGGGTCTGTTTCTGTTTTGTTTGTCATTTATTATGTTTTTTAGATTCTACATATAAGTGAAATCATATATTTGTCTTGGTCTGTCTTATTTCACTTAGCATAATATATTCTAGGTTCATCCACGTTGTTGCAAGTCTTTCTAGGAAGAAACACTCATTCAAGGAATCAATGTGGTAAACAGAAGATATTGTTTTCTAAAATATTTTATTTATCTATCTATCTATTTATTTATTTATTTTAGACAGAGGGGAAAGGAGGGAGAAAGGGAGAGAAACATCAATGTGTGGTTGCCTCTCACGTGCCCCCTCCTGGTGACCTTGGCCTGCAACTCAGGCATGTGTCCTGACTGAGAATCAACAGCCACCCTTTGGTTCACAGCTCCATTGAGCTACACCAGCCAGGGCTGTTAAAAATCATTAAAGAAGATCTATAATTGAAGAAATATTCAATTGACAAGGTATCTGTAAAATTTATGTGGAATTGTAAGAGACCTAGAACAGTTAAAACAGTCTTGAAGAACAATAGCAAAGTAGGCTTCCTCGCACAACCAAATCTAAAAATAATAAAGTTTTAACAACAATAAACGCAACCAAACCACAGAAAATCGAACAATATGGAGTCCAAAAACAACAAACCACTCAGCTAAACCAGTGAGAGGGGCGAAGCCAGCAGCAGAACTGGTCGGGCAAAAAAAGATCTCCTGCCCTGGCCGGGCAGCGCGCAGGCAGCCAAGGGCACGGATCCCAGGTGCGGGGTAGCTAGGGGCAGACCCAGGGAAGGCGCAGCGAGGCTGGCTGTCTGTGGTCGTGCATTTGCGTGCAGATAAACCAGTAAAGAGACGTGCATTGAGAAAGACGGCGCAGGCCCCGGTGCAGGGCGACAGGCTCACACATTTGCGCTCAGATAAACAGGCGAGGGTGAGGGGTGAGGCCAACTGGGCCAGTGGAGAGGACCACCATTGCTCCCTCTCTGACCCCGCCCCCACATACAGTGTCACAAACCAGCAACCTGGGTGGACCTGCCCTGGTGAACGCACCTCTCCTCATATGCAACAGGCACAAACTGATCAAAACATGGCTCAAGAACAACTCAGAGCCCCAGAGCCAATAAATCTAAGCAATGAATAGCCAAACTTTCAGATGCACAGTTCAAAACACTGGAGATCAGGATGCTCACAGAACTGGTTGATTTTAGTCACAAATTAGAGGAACATATGAAGGCTAAACTAATTGAAATGAATGGAAATGCATAGGAAACCAATAGTAATGGAAAGGAAACTGGGACCCAAATCAAGGGAGCAGAACAGAAGGAAGGAAAAAATGACCAAACAGAAAAGGATGAAGAAACAAGAATTCAAAAAAACGAGGAGAGGCTTAGGAAACTCCAGGACATCTTTAAATGCTCCACCATCCGAATTATAGGAGTACCAGGAGGGGAAGAGGAACAGTCACAAGTGGAAACCTTATTTGAACAAATAATAAAAGAGAACTTCCCCATTCTGGCAAAGGACACAGACTTCCGGGAAATCCAGGAAGCTCAGAGAGTCCCAAAGAAGTTGGACCCAAGAAGGAACACACCAAGGCACATCATCATTACATTAGCCGAGATTAAAATGAAGGAGAGAATCCTAGAAGCAGCAAGAGCTAAGGGGACAGTCACCTACAAAGGAGTTCCCATCAGACTGTCAGCTGGTTTCTCAAAAGAGACTTTACAGGCAAGAAGGGGCTGGAAAGAAATATTCCAAGTCATGAAAACCAAAGACCTACAACCAACATTGCTCTATCCAGCAAAACTTTCATTTAGAATGGAAGGACAGATAAAGTGCTTCTCAGATAAGATCAAGTTCAAGGAGTTCATCATCACCAAGCCCTTATTATATGAAATGTTAAAGGGACTTATCTAAGAAAAAGAAGATAAAAAGGATGAACAGTGAAAGGACAGCAAACTCACAGTTATTAACAACCACACCTAAAACAAAAGCAAACTAAAAGGACAGCTAGATCAGGAGCAGAAACATAGAAATGAAGATCTCATGGAGGGTTAGCAACAGGAAAGTGGGAGAAGGGGGGAGAAGGTACAGAAAATAAGTAGCATAGACGGTAGGTAGAAAATAGATAGGGGGAGGGCAAGAATAGTATGGGAAATATAGAATCTAAAGAACTTGAGACACATGGTCATAAACTAAAGGGGGGGAATGGTGAGGGTAAGGGGTACAGGGTGGGGGGGACTAGAATGAATGTAATGGCATAAGCAATAAAATAAAAAAATAGCAAAGTATTAGTCATATTTCCTAATTCAAAAAGTAACAGTAATTTAGACATTGTAGTACTAGCACAAGATAGATATAGAGATCAATGGAATAGAGTTGAGAGTCCAGAAATAAAGTTATGTTTATTAACAAGAATATCAAGACCATCTAATAGGGAAATAATAATTATTCAATAATTAAATGGTGCTTGGACAACTGGATAGACACATGCAGACAAATATTAGCTTCTACCCTCACACCATATACAAAAATTAATTCAAAAGGGAGAGAAGACCTAAATCTCAGAGCTAGAACTATAAAACTCTTAGAAGAAAACAAAGGGTAAATCTCCATGGCCTTAGATTTGGCTAAGGATTCTTAGATATGAGACAGGGCCTGAAATTTTGTATTTGTTAGTAAGCTCCCAGAGCACACAAAAACAGCAGTCATTTCCCACTTTGAGTAGCAAGATTATGGTCTCCCATGTCATAATCAATAGGTATCTGTGAAAATGTAGGTATCTAGGCCCTAACCTGATATACTGGTTCAATCTCTGGGCAGTATCCAGGAACACACATTTTAAACAAACTCCTCAGGAGATTTGAGAACTAATGGTCTACAAGTTTAAAATTCCCTTTAGCTTTTTCTCCACTTATTAATTTTTGTTACTAAAAGCCCAGTGCTGGTCTCTCCTGCCCCTTGTTGCTTTTATTGACCATCTCAGGCTCTGACTTCTTTTAATAGTTGTTTGCAGCATTTGCTTTTTATCATGGGCTATCTTTCCTTGCATAGATCCCGACTCTCTAAAAACATTTTTTTTTTAAATGAATAATTATGTTATATACTTCCTTGTAGTCTCAGCTCCTAACATAATTCTTAGCAGAGTGAATGTTCACTTACTGCTTGTCATGGTCAATAATAGTGATGATGGTGAATGATGAATCTCCAGGACACATGGTTGTTTCCCAAGCCCTGTGTGATGAAAAGAACCTGCTGACTCCACTAAAGAAAACATCCAACAGCTTAGCAAAAAATGTAACTCAAAACTATGGCATGATATTTTTCAGGAATTGACGCTATGATCCTTTTGTACCTTAGTACTTTCGATTTTATTATGGTAAATGGCACTTCAAAGGAAAGAGTAACACTTTGAATATGTCTTTTATCTACGAACCTCAAAGCACTCTAAAGCCATTCATTAAGTAGCCATGGTTTAAATATTATTACGCCCATCTTACAAAAAAAGCTGAGTAGGTCAAAATCATAGAGCCAAACCAAGACACTCAGGAGCAAAGGTGAGTGGCGGGTAAGCACTTCTCAGCATCTCCCAGACCTCAAGCTGTGTGACTTGAAAGGAGGCCAAAGAAGAAAATTCTAAATTATTTCAATAATCCTTCTTCTTCCTTTTCATTCCTACTGCCATTGTTCTCAGTGTCTCTCAGGACGCGTATGCATCCCTACTTATGGTTAAATGCTGACCCATCGTCCCTCCTTCACCACTTCCTCGTCTATTTTTCAGTCTTCTTATTCTTCCTACCTTAGTCCACTGTAGCAGCAGAGCAAAAAGAACTGCCAGCGGAGGAGATGTGAAACCAGGTTAGAACCCCGATTCCATCACTCACGAATATCGCTGAGAAAGTCGGTTCACTCTCAGAAAGACAGTTTCCTCTTTGTGTGTAAAATGGGGATGATCACGCCCACCTACCTCACGGGAGGGTTGAAGGGACAGAACCTAACTCGTGAACTGTGAAACACTATGGATATCAGCTGTCCCCTTACTGAATGTGTCCTTAATTTAATTTAAGCCCGGGGCCTCAAGGTGTAGCGTAACTAGCAGGTACAAACAACGTCCGCAGGGAACAGCCTTGAGATGGCTTTTTCCTTTGAGGAAAGGGAGGGTGCGAATCTGTTGGGAGTCGTAGTCCTCGAGGCCGTCACCGAAACCTCGGGGAACGAAAAGAACTACAACTCCCGTAAGGCCGTGCGGGTACAACCCTGCGCTCCCTGCAGCCCAGCTGGTGCCCTAAGCCGAAACCGGAGGGTGGTCAGTGCGCACGCCGGGAACCTGCAGAGCGAGCGCCGAGGTGGGGCGCTCGGGGTAGCCGATCGAGAAAAGGAGACGCGTGGGAGGGTGTGGGGACTGTAACAAACAAATACCAGTGGCAAAAGGCTATTTGACAAGTAAAAAGAGCCGTGCTCCGTTTCCTCACCACCGTGCCCGGTCCTAACTCCCGCTACTGCTGAGAATTCGCCACCGCGCTCCGCTCCACTGGCTCTTCACGCCCCAACCCCCGGGCCTAAGTTAGCAGGGGCGGGGCCAGCGGCGCTGGGGCGGGGCCTAAGGTAGCCTGGGCGGCGGCGGCGGCCGTGGTCAGGATCCAGGCATCTGGGACTGTTGTTCTCTCCCCGCGCGACCGCCTCAGCCGTTCGCCCAGACAGAGAGACCAGTAGCTGGTGTGCCGAGGAGCGGACGGCTGCATCCTCCTCTCTCCTGCTTCCCAGAGCTGCTGCAGTAGCTGGCACAAACATCCTGCGGTTGGTCTCCGATGCCCTTCACTGAGGAGGGGGCGTCGGGACCCTGGTAAGCTCACCTTAGGCCCCCGCAACTCGGCATCTTCGTCAGCTCTCTGGTCCGCATACCCGTCTGTCTGCCATGGCCGAAAACGCAGGCGGGGACCTAAACTCCAATCTGCTCCACGCCCCCTACCACACTGGAGACCCTCAGCTAGACACGGCCATCGGGCAGTGGCTCCGCTGGGATAAGGTGAGTACCTGGACAGCTTGGCATCGCCCTTTCCTCCAGCACGCCCTCCCACACACCGTCTGCTTTCTCCTGTCCCCACCCGGTGCTCGGGCTGCGGAGGAGATGGCTCAGGCCACCGGGAGGGAGCCAGTGGAGCGCGCGTTGCCACCCACCTATGCTTGGGCTGCCGCCCCGGGACCGTCTTAGCTGGGCAGGGACCTCTGTAGCCGCTTCCTTTTGCGGAGCGCGCAGTTGCAACCTCCCTTCCTTTCCTCCACCCACTCCCTTCAAGTGCAGGTCATCTCTCTCAAATAATAATAACTAATAATCATCATTGTGGTAAATTGTCATAGAGCTATTTTCTTTCCACTTTCTTTTCCCTTGACTTCCTTCTTCGCAAACCTGAAAGCGGTTTTTGTCACCCTTCTTGGACGTTTCTAACCGCTATCAGCTTTAGTTCTGGTCTGGTGTGTTTCCACCTAACGTCGCTAGATAGTCGCTGGTCTTTTAGCACTCCCTGGTATTGTCTACTATCACCTTTTGCGCTTGAGAAAGGTAAGAGTTTTCGTATCTCCTCCTTTCTCTTGCCGGGAATTATTTTCTGGAAGTATCCTGTTCCAAAAATCATGTTTTTCAGGTTTTATATGATGCTCTTGATACAGAATTGTTTATTTTACCCATTCCTCCTCTACTCCCCCCACCCCCTCCAAGGTTTGCGGTGGTTTCATCTTGTGCAGGCATGTGAGATGGATCGTCAGAGCCAGAATTAAAATGCAGCTCTCTCACTTGTAAAAAAGGCCTCTGATGGCTCCAACAAAGGATGATGATCCAGGCTTCTGCTTTGTCAAATGCATTAAATGCATTTGTTGAAGTCTAGAAGGCAGCCTTTAAAATGGAATTAATAATACAGATTAAAGAATTAGTATGGTAGTTTGTAAAATCATGTTGTACAAATAATTTCCTGAAAGATTAGCTTTGTGAAAAAGTTTTATTTTCACCATGTTTAGTCATTCATGCATTCAGCAAAAAATATTTACTGAGCACTAGGTAATGTTCCAGAGCCTTTTCAGCACAGGGAATACTAGTGTTGAGGAAGATAGAAAAAGCATTCCTGCTCTCAACAAGCCTTCAATTAGCAGATAAGGAAGACCAACAAATAAGCAAAAATTAGTTAGTTAGCATTACTTGGTCACATGCATCTTGGACATTCTCATTCTTCCTCTGTAGTCTAAACCAGTGCTTCTCTAAAACTTGAAGTGCTTATAGATGACCAGAGGATCTTAAAATGCAGATTCTGATTAAGAAGCCTGGCATAGGGCCTGTGATTCTGCTTCAAAATGAGCTCCCAGGTAATAATGCTGCCAGTCTGTGAACCACACTTTGAGTAGCAAGATTCTAGAGAAGCAATGTTCAACTCCTGTACCCCAAGAATTTTTAAAACACGCAGTACCCAGCAAGGGGCACTGACCTCTGTTCCCTTAGATTGTCAAATTGAAAAATGGCAACAGCCAACACAACAATAGCTGTCCAGTGTGAGTGAATCAAAATTACACCCTTTTTTTTTGTCAGATTGGCAAAATTGTAGTATATTTTTTTGGTGTGCTGCAAAATTTTAGTATGTCATTAGTTTATGTGTACCATGAGATGAAAAGGTTGAAAATCGCTGCTCTAGAGTGTTGTGATTGAGATACTAAACTAGGGAACCAATTCTCATGGGATTTGGTTACATATATAGGTTTGTATTTAGTCAAGTGTACAAAATCTGTGCTGTCCCATTAATTAACATAAGGCCAATTAACAAAATGGTCTTTAAAGCCATTTTGCCAGTATTTATAAAATGCTTGCAGTGAAAATAGTTCCTTGCTGTGGAAGGATACAAGAGAAGTGATAATTCAAAGATTGCTTATCTGCTTTTAGTCCATGAGGGAGGGAGAACCCTAATAGAAATAAAAGAGCTAAGGTTTAGCATACAGTAGAATGATATGCACTACAAACTGACTATATAAATGTCTTCGGCAGGGAAAACTAACTCAATTACAAATGCATGTTATCCTTATATGTTTAATATAGTTATTGTTTTTGTTTAAAGTTATCTGCTTTCATTGGTATTGTCAGAAATGAATGTGATTGCTCTTAATGTCTCCTTAAAGTGCAAGGGAGATTTATGAAATTCAAATACACTTGTAGAATTACAACACAATTTAATTTATTGGGAACTGTTATATATGTCAAAGCCTTTGGCATTGTAGTAGGAGTTTGTTTTTCATTGCCATGGATGAGATCTCTTGTTCCTTTAGGTTTTGACTATACTTTTCTTAATGAATCCCTTGATTGACTTTTTAAGGTTGATTGCCTATGTTGTGCTTAGATATTGGAATATACTGAAATGTAAAAAGACTATAAAATACATATAAAGATACATAAAAAACATAATATACATAAAAAACATAAAAAGATAATGCTAGAGTAGTTTTGGTGGTAATTAAATGGTTTATAGACCGTTCTTTTAGGAGTTCAAAAGTAAGAGTGACCTGTGGACTGGGAAGGTCAAGGAGACTTTCTGAGAAGATGGAATACATATAAACAGTATGAGGAGGGCCTTCATTGAAAGTGAGAGAGAAAATCTTAGTTTATATTTAAAGTGCCCTCTATCTACAAGACACACTGGCTGAGAACCTGTGGGAAGTACAAAGATGAAATAGATATGTAGCATATCTTTAAAGAACATAGAAGGGAAGATAAAACAAAAGCTCACAAATAAAATGCATGGAGCAAGTAATAAGTGTCCTTAACAGAGGAACAGATTTAAATAATTTTAATAATTATTTAATAAAAATAATGAAGATTAATTACTCTCTCTTTTTAGTGGGCAAAAATACTTTTAATTGGTAAATACAGGTGTATCTACTGTAGACTGATAGTGTAGGTAAGCTGGGCTGTATCCCTGGGCACTGAAATGTAGAAAACACAAACGCAAAAACACAAAGTAATAAGTCGGATTTACGGATCACATTATGCATTGGCAGCACATTTAGTCTTTCGGCACAGAGAAACTGAGTTTAATACCTGATTATTACCTAGTTACTGAAAGAAGGAACCTACCAAATGTCACGGATTCTAATGACTCTAAACGAGGCACATAGTAAGTTATAAATTGATTAGAGGGCAAATTGCTACTGTCCTAAGTCACCAAAATTGCTAGTTTTAGTGTGGATGGGGTAGTGTACTTTGAAAAGTCTTCATGAGAAAAGCATTTTTTCTGGTAAAGTTTCAGAATTAAATTAAAATTTAAACTTGTTAACATGGAGAGGAAGACTATTCCAAGCAGAGATTGAAAGTTAATGTGTGTACTTAGACATTTTTTTCTGCTATAGCTCGGGGTCCATAGAGGAAACTTGTTGGAAAGGCAGGTGAAACAAGGTCCTACGAAGCCTTTACTGTACTGTTGACCCTTGAACAACACAGGTTTCAACTCTATGGGTCCACTTACATGCAGATTTTAAAAAATAAATGTGTATGATATTGTAAATGTTTTTCTTCTTTATAATTCTCTTAATAGTTTCCTTTTTCTAGCTTAACTTTTTTAATAAGAATACATTATATAATGTTACAAATAAAAGATGTGTTAATGGACCATGTTATAGGTAAGGCTTCTGGTCAACAGTAAACTGTTAGTAGTTAAGGTTTTGGGGAGTCAAAAGTGGATTTTCAACTTCAGGAAGTTTAGGGTGGGCTGGTGCCACTAACGCCTATATGTTCTAGAGTCAACTGTGATATGTCTTCAGTGGCCTTGGATAAATAAAGGTGTGTGTAAGTGTTAAAAAGAAAATAGTGCAACATGGGGTGTTCACTGGGCATTCTGGAGTACCCCATGTGGTTTCAGTGGGGGCATTCTATTGGTAAATTACCATAGTCCAGGATCTAACCCTTGGTTCTCTGCCTTCAGAATAATTTGTTATTCTGTATTGTTTTAGGATGGAATACTCCTACTCAAGGTCACAGAAATGGATATCTGAATTCATCAGTTTCTGTTTCACTAATTTATGGTACAAATGTAATATAAGCGGGTTTGTCTCTAGTCAGGGCATTTTATGGGTGCAGTGTAAGGGGAGTCAAAGAATCAGAAAACTTTTAATGACTGAAATCAAATTACAGGGTGTCAGTCACATGCCATAAATGTTAATGAGTGCATTCATTTCTATGGTAGAACTATCCTATAACTAGATCCCAACAAGTCCATGGATCAAGGTGTAACTCCTCCAGGCAGTGCACGGGTGACTTTCCTGCAGTGCTGTCTCCCTTCTATGCTCTAGGGCTGCCCAAAGCCTTCATTTTCTTCCTAGTTCTTTCTTCCTATGCTTTCTCTCAAATTACAAACAAGTCTTGCTGGCCTAGAAGTCAGGTTCTCTTTAACACAACAGCTATCTCTTCTTTCTGATCCACTGTATATTTTAACTTTTGAAAGCAAAATTACATCCAAGATTCAGCATCGACCAAGTTTTGGTGGGAGTGACATGCGTACAGGGCGGAGCTGCTCAGGCAGCCGTAGCAGCAGCAGCTCTATATCCACCACAAAGTGGAGGCAGAAATTGATCATGACATTTTGAAAAATAGTGAGTAGAGCACTCTGGTATCAATGTAGGTATGTTGAGAAAGAATAAAATGTAAAGTGAAAGATAGATGAGGTTAGATTAGGGTTATGAGATGCATGGAAATAGAAATGAAAGACTTCAGTCTAAGCGAGTGACTTTCAGACATCTTGCAGTGAAATTTTTTCAAGCAAAATATAGTCTAGATAAAGTAGTGCTGAATGAATTCACTCTTAAATCATCTTCACGTGATGAAAAATATACAAGGAAACACCTCTACATACACTAGATACACAAGGAAACACCTGTAAACACACTGTGTAGAAACACAAAGAAATTGTGGAAATTATCTATTTGTGGTAGAGCCAGGACTAGAGCCTAGATCTGCCACCTAGTTCAATCCAATTTTTACAATAATATTTTATATTACAT